AGGTCTAGAGAGAATGTGACAGTTCTGGCCCATTTCTTTGCAGTCACATGGCCTGCCTGTTTTGCAGTGTTATTTCTGATCCATGTGCATCAGCCATTCGTAGGGCATAAAATGCAAGCACTCAAGAAGTTTTTCCAACTTCAGCTTTATACAACTAAGACTATAGATACCAAAGAAAACTTGTATGTATGTATGTCACATAATTTACATATTTTCTGGCTTAGTGTTGTGTATGCCACTGAAAATAAACAACCGCTTAGCACTTTATCATCAATGGAAGATAATGACAGAAGTAGACTTTCTGCAAACTATTTGAGCTTCCCACCTACATTTTGCCAGCATGCTTTCCTATATTTATTACTCCTGATGGAAGTATTGAAGATGTAATTTGAAGCTTAGCAGCAGCCAAAATTTCTGATATTTTATCTGGCCACTGAAAGTTTATAATCAATTTTTGAGAGAGAAACAAAACAGTGATAAGATTTTACTGTTTAATACAAATGCCCAGCAGGTATTGATAGGGACCAAGCAACGGGGTATTTCCCTAGGTAAAGGATTTTGCTCTGGAGTAAGCTTAAATGGGTAAAAAGCTCGAGGATATATGGATTTTCCTTCCTAGAAATTGAATGGGGGAATTGAAGGTAATAGGTACTTGCTCCCTGCCAACTTTGTAATGAAATTACTGTTCAGCAAAAACTTCTGTTAGAGTTTTGTTTTGTTTTTCCCCTCCCAAAAGACTGAAGACACTTAATTGAAAAAAAGAGAAACACTCACTGGTTTGGCATATTGAATCTTAAAGGAACATGAAAAAATCTGGACTGCAAAAATTTCCGTATATTTGTTTCCACATAATCTGAAGAAGAATGATGCTTCTATATGATCAGCCTGCTAATTCCATCTGACTTCACTGCAAAATGGGAAGAAAGGGAATGGGTGGAGGAAATAGAGATGGGAAATTAAAGGAGATTTAAATAAATTCAACTGGCAAATCAATAAGAGACCTGGATACTCAGCAGTACATACTAACTGCTCACCTAAAATGGTGATGTGATGATCCCCTCACACAACGGAACCCTGTGAATGCCTCTGCCGAGGACATGTGACTATGTCAAAAATCAAAACATTTGTTCTCTGATCTTCCTTCTACAAACAGATAACAAACCGGGTATTTCTAAACCTTCTGGTAATTGACTAAAATTTTCCTTTTTACCCACATTCAGGCCATTAGGGAGATCCAGCCTAAACACTGTTCATCCCAAAGTGTTGGATAATCAAAACCTAGCTTGTTAACTCATTGCATTCAGTTTTTCAAAAAAGAAACTCATTGAATTGGCTGGCCTACCTCTGAGTTTTGGGCAGCAGATAGACAGTAACTTGGTAACTGGTTTTGCGCCAGCCCGGGTAAAGTCCTCTGGTGGTCTTTGTCTGCAATTTTTATGTTGAAATTCTATGAACAGTGTTCCAGCATGACATTTTGTGGTTCCGTGCATCTCCATTTTGGCCATTCACCTGGCCAACCCTTGCTCTTCCTTCCTGCAGCAACCCAAATATCTTCCACTTTGTTTCCCTATTCCAGCCCTGCCTCTATAATAGATTGGCCACTCTATTCCTTACACTCTTCACCAATCTACTTAATACATATCTCTAAATTTACACTTAACTGTTGTTTATTGCAGAGATATTTTTGTATAATTTTCTTAGCACAGTTTTTGGCACAGGTCATGACATATAGTAGGTATTCAAATATGTCTATTGGATGGAGGGATGGATGAACTGACGGATGGATGGATGGATGGATGGATGGATGGGTGGATGAACACGTTGTTGGATGGATGTACAGATGGATGGATGGATGGCACATCTAGCAAGGGCCAACATCCTCAACCACCAAACATGAACTCCACCCCTACAATGCAATAAGACTAAAAATAACCATAGAGAACAAAACCAAAAAGTCAACTTCAAAATCATGCATAGCTTAATTTAGGCCCCAATTAATTACCTTGAATGCTGGTTGATTTTGAGGAATTTGACCCAAATTGAATCCTCCTCTAAACTCCAGTCCATTGCAAATGTCTTCTCCATAGTTTTAATAAAGGAATGTTAAGTAGAGCCCTCATTAGATGTCCTTTCTGGACCATATCCATTTAGCTCACATAACACCAGCCAGGAAGCATCAAAGGAAAGAGGGAACAGAAAAAAAGCAAAACAAAACCATTCCAGTTGTTTAAATTATGAATGGTTTTAGCCATAAACGAAAATGTTGGAAGTTGGTCTACGGGCAGCAAATCCGAGTGCTCAAAACCTTACTTAAAACCTTTCATGGATCTCCGTGGCCTTGTCAACAACATAACAACCCTTTAGGGTGTCATTCAAAGACCCTTAGAATCTGGCTTCAGGGATTCTTTCTGGAAAATTCCACTGCCCCTCAGCCTTACTAAGCTATTTCCTTCTTCCTCCAGGGTGTTACTCCCCTTGCTGATTATTCTTTACTTAAGATGATGCCTCTTCTCAGAATTCTTTTGTCCCACATCTCTTCAAACCCTTCCCTCTCCCAAGATTCCCCAGGAAGCCCTCCCCAAATGCCTTAAGTTGAAGGAGGGGCCCTTCCTGGGCATTCTAACAACTGCTCACTCTCAGAGCTCTTCTGCGCACCAGTGGCCTTTTCCGTGCTTGTCATATGAATGTGTATATGTCACCAGATCATAAGAATGTAGGTCAGAGGACAGACAGGCACTGTGTTCTCCATTTCTGCATCTACAGGACTCACCATAAGCCCTGACACATAATAGACAGTCAGTAAATAGTTGTTGAATCAATCAAATCTCCTGCTAGGAAATGATCAGAAAGGCCTCAAACGTGCCAAACAGTGAGTATGCTTTGCTTCGTCTACAATTGCAGTGTTTCATTTTTCTGTTTTTTAACAAATGGTATTTGAAGAAAATTTGGAAATGCCAAGTACACAAAAGAAAATAAAAAGTACTTGTAATCCTTCCATGCATAGACAAGCCATAGTTTTATCCTCTTTTCTGTGTGTTTTAGCATTAAATAGCATTTTCTCCTTGCCATTAACTTGTCTTCAAACACATGATTTAAAAGAACCCAAATAGTCCATTGACTGGATCCACAGTACTTGTTCTTTGCCTTTTGCCCGTTTCTTCACCTTGTCCTGGAGGCCTGATTCTCCCTCTCTGCACAACGCGGGCAGATCACCTGCACTGTGGAGGCCCAGGGGTGGACATGTGACTATTTAGGCCAGTTTCCCTTTTTGGAAATTTTTTGTTAGTCCTTCTCCTTAATATTTCGCTTCTTTAGCTGCTTGGAATATAAGAATATAAAGCAAGAATATAAAGATATATATATATATGAAGCAGGACAATTATATAAAGATATATATATAAAGCAAAAAAAAATGCTGTAACTTCTGAGATGCTGTCTTTCTTGAGAAGTCTCTGAACGCTTCAACCTACCATACTCTATTTATTGAGCATCTGCTAAGTGGTGTGTTTTCTTGGAAGTTTTAGCAACATCATATTTTTCTCAAACTGCAAGGTGGGGGCCTCTGGGGGATGCGTTCTACCTTGCTTCACCCTCTGAGCGCCATCTGACTACAAGGCAAGGTGGCTTTGAAAAGTGGTGGAGATAAGAATTTTATGAGACAGACACATGTCACCAGTGAAGAACACACCTAGGCCAAAAGGTGACTGTGGTTATTGAAGGAGATACTGAGCAGTCGGCCTTGGTGCCTTTCTCCCGCCAACCCTCCCATCTGACCCATCACTGAATACCTGCTTAATATTTCTCTACTTGGTCCTCTTTATTGCTGCTGCTGTTCCTCCTCCTCTTTTGGGGCCACAACAGGGCCACAGACAATGTCATGTTTCCTGTAGCTAATAGAGTCCTGTAGCCAGCCCTCGTACCCACTCTGACCTCCCTCCAACCCAAGTCTTCCTGTAGCTAATAAAGAGTCCTGTAGCCAGCCCTCATACCCACTCTGACCTCCCTCCAACTCATTCTCTACGCAGCCTTCAAGTCATATTATACAAAAAAAAGCCTGATTACATCCCCTCCTTGGTTAAAACCGTCAGTGCCTTCCTATTGTTGTAAAACAAAGACGGAACTCTTTAACATGTCCTGAAAAGCTTGGCACCGTCTGCCCTGTTTGCCTTCTCAAGTCACACTACATCCCACATTGTCCTGTCTCTCTCTGCTTCTGCCTCACTGCTTTGCAGTCAGTCCCTCATGTGTATTACCACAGGGCCTTTGCACCAGCTGTCCCCTTTGCCTGGAACATGCTTATGGCTTTTCCTAACTAGCTAATGCTGATTCATCCTTTAAATTAAGCTGCATTTCCTTACAGAAGCCTTGCCTGACTGCTGTTTCACCTTCACATAATATACACACCCCTCTGTTGTAGCAGTTGTCATAGATCTGTGATTCATCCATTCATGCCCATCCTCTCCTTTAGACTGTAAGCTACATGAGAGGAAGGATCATGCCCATTTCCTTATTTAAGCCCATCCAACCATCTAAGGCCTGGCATGTGGCAAATGTTTAATAAATGTTAGTCGAATGAATAGTGAATGGGTGAGATACCATTTATTTGAAGTTGGATACTATATGGTTTATGAGCAAGCAGTTTCTGTTAGGGAAGATTGCTAAAACATAACAGGCGTGCTTTAAGATCCTGCTGTGAGAAGATGATCTGACCAAAGGACTGTGGGGCTAGCAGGACAATTGGTTCCATCTCATGTGCTAATTACAGTCAATTATGCCTCTGCAGTACTGGGGATTCTGAGAGAGAGTGAGGATCCCGGATGCACCTGATCATTAGTAGTGCCCACGTGGGGTCTCACACTCCCACAGATAGAGTCCTCTTATGACACCTGACGTGACAAGTTTACACTTTTTTGGTGTTAACTGATGGTGACATTCACTCATTTAGTTGAGACCTTTTTAATTCTTCCCTAAAATATGTCTTTCTCTCCTCCTCTCTATAGATTTATGGTCAATGTGACATGGGATGGCAAAGACTTGTCCTTCACCGAGGAAGGCTACCAGGTGCACCCCCGGCTGGTGGTGATCGTGCTCAACAAGGACCGAGAATGGGAGAAGGTGAGCATATCCCTCTGCAAGCTGAGTGCAGGGGAGGCAAGGAAGCCTGGGCGGCAAGCAGGCTTTTCCCATGAGCTGCTCCAGATCCCATCCCATGGCCAAGGGCACACCTTTCTTGGAATAAGGCAGACCAAATCTTGTAAGGTGCAATTGGAGCTCTCTGCCTGGGTGACTGTGTACTGCTCTCTATGTCAGGCTTTCAGATCTCAGGAGGAAGGGCCCTAAGGACTTAGGATCATTTAAAGACAGTGAAGCTTGGTTCACAGCCTTGCAGTAGCTAATGGTTATTCTAAACAGTGATTATATCAGTTTGCCTAAACCTCATCACGGTGGACCGAGTGCACTGATGTATTTTGCCACATGGATAAACCCCCTGTATTTTCATCTACCTAGTCTTTTTACTTTAAATCACCTAATTTCCCAAACTTAAGTCTCTTAAATTGTATATTGGGGAGGGAGGGTTATTTTTCTTGTAAAGCACGCTTTCAGATACCTACATAATTAACTACTACAAAATATTTCTTAAAAATCTGTGCAGGAAAATATCATCTCATACCACAGAGGCCATGTCCTGAGTCAGAGGGGAGACTTAGGGCATTTATAGATGATCCAGTGTGTAAAAGGATGATATCCATCCCGTGATTCAATTCTTGAACTAGTCACCTCAATAAATCAATAATAGAAAAACAGCACAATTATAAGTGGGAAGTTGACAGACACTTCGCAAAAGCTTATTATACTCAAATGGCCAATAAGTCCATGAAAACATGCTTAACATCATTTATCTCTGGAGACATGCAAATTAAAACTACAATGAGATACCACTTTATACCCACTGAATGGCTAAAATGAAAAAGACAGTAATACCAAGTGTTAGTAAGGATATGGCACAACTGAATCTCATATATTTCCACTGGGAATGTAAAATTACAACCACTGTGGAAAACTCTTGTAGTTTCTTATAAAGTTAAACATACAAATTATACTATCCAGCAATTCCATGCCTAGGTTTTACTGCAAAGAAATGTAAACATATCCCCTCAAAGTAATTTTTATATAAGACTGTTCATTGCAACTTTATTCATAATTTCAAAACACCAGAAAGAACTCAAATGTCCATCAAGGAAATTAATAAATTATGATATATTCATAAACTAAATGCCACTCATTAATAAAGAATGAGTTAGTAATACCCACAGTGATGTGGATGAATTGAAAAAACATTATGTTGAACAAAAGAAGTCAGGCACAAAAGATTATACTCTATGATTCTATCTATGTGAAGTTCGAGAAGAGGGCAAAGCGCATCTATAGGGTTAGGTATCAAAATAATGGTGCTCTTGTAGAGGAGGGCTATCAACGGGAAAGAGGCACAGGGAACTTTCTAGAATTTTGGCAGTGTTCCCTATCTTGAGTAGGTGTCACAATGCATCCAACTATCACACAAGATCTGTTTATTTTATTGCATTGTTGTACCTTAATTTTAAAAAAATGTCTTGAAGCCTTTCACATTGAGATACCCAGCACAATTAACTACCAGTGTTAAATATGGAGTTCTCATATTTCACTCCCAGACACAAATACTAGTTATAACAACAATAGCATTGTTTATTGAACACTTGCTCTGTTTTCCTTTAGGTGGTAGACCCAAGCACTGAGGGACGACTTGGCTTATTCAGTCAATCAACAAATATTTATCAGTGCCTGCTATGCGCCCGGCATTCATCTTGATGCTTAGACTGTATCAAGCGAACAGGAGAGACAAAGAATTTCTGTAGTCATAGAATTCAGATTCTAGAGCGTTTGTGGAGGGGGATGGGGTGGGGATCTGTGCATTTTTGTGATGCTTGAGGAAAGCATTGTATTCCAGGTAACCGTCCCCAGTTGCTACCTCCTCTCTCCCGTTGGAATTCCCTGTGAGCTGAGTTCCTTTATGCATCTGGGTCTTTGAACATACTTTTTTTTTTTTGCTTGTCATGTTTTTCTGTATCCTCACCCTCTTCAATCCATCCTTCAAGTTCTGGGTTTTCTTTCCTCTTACAAATGCAAAGTCAAAATGCAAGTATTTTTTTCCTCATCCTTCATAGGAAGTAGAGAACTTGGGCCTTTCTGCTGTACATGACTGGGGTTATTTTTCAAGCTTTTCAAGTTATACAATCTGAGGATCACTTTTGGAGCTGTTACATCATTCTCTGCAGTTGGGTTTAACCAGTCCTGGCTCAGGCTTGCCTCACACCTGTCAGTTGCCCATGCTGCCTTTGAATCTGGCTCAGTTGCCAGGGAGCCTGTTTACAGGGAGATCACTGCAGGGCCGTGGTGCAAGCACTGCATAAAAGAAAGCTGCCCTTGATATTCTCCATTTTCAGGTACAAAAAATGCTCTTTTAATATTTTGTGTGTCCTTCAAATTCCCATTGAAATACAATAATTTCCCAAAAAGGCAGCTTGGGGAATTACTGCTGAGTGGAGCTTGGAATGTACAAATGCTTCCTGTAGTTGGTCTATTCTCTTGGCACTCAGGGGATCCAGCACTGTGGAAATAACCCCTTGTGCTTCTGTCTTGAAGAAAGAAGCAGCTAAATACCAGTCATGTCATCCCGAAAGCCGCCCCCCAGTAGCATACGCTGGTCCCGCAGGTCAGCGGAGGGGAGACCCCCAGAAGGGAACTGTTATTCTGGGACGCCGAGGCCATTTCCTTTCTCCTCTGGGTCACCCATTGGTGTTGCTGGAAGCAGCAGCATGTAATGAGGGCTACTCAGAAAACATGACAAGCCCTGAAAGGGGCATTTGCTTTCTGCTGGGCCTTTGTGTGTGGCTGGCATAGATTACTCCAGTGCAGTGAACAAGGTTGGCTTGTGTTCAACAGACATAGAACTCAGCACTGAGCTGGCTTTCTCTTGCAAATCGGGACTTCGGTGCCCTTTGCGTCTCCTTTTTTTCAATGGTTTTTCTCTGCCTGGGAGCTTGGCGGGTCTCAGGCTTCCCAGAGATGCTTGAAAACAATACCCTGGGTGCAAGCCAATTGGCAGCCAGTGCAGCCGACTCCCCCGTGCACCAGTCATGTGGCTAGCATCCCATCAGGTACCAGGGGTGATCCACGGATGAGCAGGAAACCATCCCTCTCCCCCAGTAGCTCACAATGGAGCATCTCTGGGCAGAGAGCGGTGGACTTGACTTGGCCGATTAGGGAAATTGTCACAAGGATAGAGATGCTGGGAGCTGGGCCTGGAGTGATTGGATTTCTCCAAGTTGAATCACTTTCTTATTAACTACTTGAAAAAAATGCTTTTGGAATAATACTATTAACCATTTTAGGGTTATATGAACTTTAAAATGAAAATATTTATGTACACATACATGTGCACATTTCTAAAGACTAGCTTTAAGAGGCTCTGTATACTTAGAGAAGCAGATTTAAAGCAGATTTCTGGAGCTTCTGACTTCAAGCATAAATAGGACAAAACCCATAAATCTTGAAAGTATAACAGTCCTCTTTTTTGATGGGTGCAGTTATCACATAATGTGATGCTGTAACTCCCTCCTTTCTTCATCATTGTGTTTTTACTACCCCTCAGTCACCCACCACATTTAAGCTAGAATGGCCCAGTGAGTCTCAGAAACCTATGAGCATGTGCAGAAGATTTCTAGTGCATGTGTATGCTTGTGTGTGATCAATAATGTGCAAAAGAGCTCATCCTGCTAAGGGCTTCGAGTGTTTGTGCAAACGTCGTACTTGGCTTCTGCGTGCACATTCCACCTAAAGGAACTCATGGAAGGAAGTTACCATTGAGGGGACACCAGCAAATAATGACTGATAGAGTAATTCTGTGGACTGCTAAAACTGAAGGGTGCTGTTGACACAGTCCCTGCTTAGCAAGAGTGCTGAAGAGAAATGGTTTAGGAGGAAAGGAAATGAGGACATTGGAGTCTTGTAGCATCTTGAGTTGTCCCTGATGGAGGAGATGGTAACAATGCCAGATAAGATGTTGTTTATGGATATAGTTTAAGTCCTGTCACCTGGTCTGTCCTCAATAAATATTGAGTTACTTAAATGATTTTTTTTCAGTTAAATCTGTCCCCCCATAAACAGAGATAGTTGAGTTCTGGGTATTTAACCCTTATTTATTCAACATTTATTCTAGCTAATAAAATTTCATGAGTACCTACTATGTGCAAGTCATTGGTGAGCTAGCAACCAGACACAGACCAGCCTTTAGGATACGTAGTATCTAATAGAGCACTAGGAGATGCTCAGCTACCAGACAGCGTGCAATGTTTTGATAGAATGTGGAGATGTTTTGATAGAACCCAGTGGTATTTAGAGAAGAGATGTGTTCTGTGTAGACAGAGGAGCCAAGGGTCTCAGAAGGGACGCCTCATTTGAACAAGGTCTCAGAGAACAGCCCAGTCTGGACTTTGTAATGTGTGGGGAGACCAGTCCCCCGACACATATGCACAAGGAACATAGAAAGCCAAAACCCGAGGGCAGGAGTGCGCCGGGCCCAGGTGAGAAGGAGTTTGATGTGTTTGGAACATAGCTTGTGTGGGAAGCAGAATTCTAAGAATGGCCCCCAGTGCCCCTCACCCTTGCCCCTGTCCCCTCAGAGGGTGAGCGGGACCTGGGAGTATGATGAGGTACCCTTCCAGTATTGTCATGTTAGACAGCAAAAGGGATTTTTAAGTTGACTTTGAGTTAATCACAGGGAAGATTATCAAGGTGGGCCTAACCTAGTCATGTGAGCCTTTTCGAAGTTCAGTTCAGTTTCCTGTGACTAACCGCAGAAGAGGACGTCAGAGGGAAGGATGGACCGACTGCCGGGTCTGAGGCTCGGGGACTGTGTGACTAGGCGTGTGGCGACCCCCAGGCACTGAGTTTAGTCCCTGGCCAGCAGCCAGCGAGGAAACAAGGACGTCAGTGCCACAGCCCCAGGGAAATGAACTTAGCTAACGACCTGAAGGAGTTTGGAGATGGGTTCTTCCCACATCCTCCAGCGATGAGCC